ATTACTGAAATAAATGAACTTTTCCACGACATTCTAATTTATTGAGATGCACCTGTATATATATATATATATATATTAAGGATAAATTCAATGCATTAAATGTAGAGTTTTCTGATTTTGGCTCAAGTAGACTAATATTTGTGGGGTTTAATAAGCCTCACTGTGGGGGAAATGGAGTTCATTAAAAGTTAATAGCGTCCACGTAAAGCATTCACACACTCTTAAGGAGCCTGTCTCTGGAAACAAACTCTTCCTTATTAGAAACAGGTTTGCATCCAGCAGTGTCCCCTCACTATACAGCTACAGGACTCAGGGGAATAAGACACGGTTTTAGCGGATCACGCTGAGGAGATTTCAGAAACCCTTTAGGATCCTCCAGAAAAAGAGCTACTCCTTAAAATACCACAGTAACAATCAGGAAAAATTAAAATTAAATATTCAACTGCAATCATGAGCCTCATTTGCTCAACGGGAAATGTTTACATTTTAAGGGGGAAAAAATGAACACTAAAAAAGATGAATTCTGTAGAGTATAAAATTGGTGATAGTGTCGTATTTCACATATCACAAAGACTCACAACACTGTAATGTTACTGCCACATACAGATGAGTCAAAAAGTCTGAAACCACATAGAAAATATAAGATTTTCTTCATATAAATGTAAAAAAAAATGACATATGAAAAAACAATGAAGATTTAATGAAGAAACGTTTCAGATTGTGCTCTATTTCAAAGGTTACTAATCATAAATGCAACACAGAAGCATTTTGGCTGGAGGAGACTTTTGGACCCCAATGTACAAGCAACAAGGCCTTATATTGTGAAACAGATTGTGTTTCCAGGTTCATGATCCCTGTAGAATCACATCTGAGAGCTCATCCTGCCACAAGTGCAGCTCAGGATACAAATACCTGCTTCTGAGACGTACAATTAAAAAGCTGTCTGGCAAAAAGGAAGCAAATGTTAGGTGAGGTACACTGCGATTGAGGCAACAGAACGGAGCGGAAGTCTTTATAAAACACTTCAAAACCAGCTGCCACATTCTGTTGCTTCTAATAAATCCATTTATTATAGTATAATCATTGGTGCCTATGAAAAAGCATGCTTTACTAAGAATGAATCGCAGGTGGTTTGATGTTAGAATTTTGGTCATTTGATTCATGTGAATGATTAAGAAAACATCTTGAGTTAGCTAGTTAAAGGAATAGTTCACCCAAAAATGAAAATTTGCTTAAAATTGACACCCTCGGGCTGTCCACTGCCACAAGTGCAGCTCAGGATACAAATACCTGCTTCTGAGACGTACAATTAAAAAGCTGTCTGGCAAAAAGGAAGCAAATGTTAGGTGAGGTACACTGCGATTGAGGCAACAGAACGGAGCGGAAGTCTTTATAAAACACTTCAAAACCAGCTGCCACATTCTGTTGCTTCTAATAAATCCATTTATTATAGTATAATCATTGGTGCCTATGAAAAAGCATGCTTTACTAAGAATGAATCGCAGGTGGTTTGATGTTAGAATTTTGGTCATTTGATTCATGTGAATGATTAAGAAAACATCTTGAGTTAGCTAGTTAAAGGAATAGTTCAAACAAAAATGAAAATTTGCTTAAAATTGACACCCTCGGGCTGTCCAAGATGTAGATGATTTTGTTTCTTCATAAGAACAGATTTGGAGAAATTTAGCATTACATCACTTGCTCACCAATGGATCCTCTGCAGTGAATGGGTGCCGTCAGAATGAGAGTCCAAACAGCTGATAAAAACATCACAATAATCCTCACCACTCCAGTCCATCAGTTAATGTCTTGTGACGCGAAAAGCTGTGTTTGTAAGAAACAAATGCATCAAGATGTTTTTAACCTCAAACCATTGCCATCCATGATCCATAATAAAGCTTCCTCCAGTGAAAAAGTCCATCTCCTGTTGTCCTCTCACATAAAACACACCAAAACACATTCGTTTAGAACTGTTTTTGCTTGTAAATGGTACATGATTTGTGCATATTTCTCTCAACGAGACAACTTTTTCACTGGCGAAAGCAATATTATTAGAAGCACACCATTATTATATTAGAAGACTAAGCTTTTCGCTTCACAAGATGTTAACTGATGGACTGGAGTGGTGTGGATTACTTGTGGATCATTGTGATGTTTTTATCAGCTGTTTGGACTCTCATTCTGACGGCACCCATTCACTGCAGAGGATCCATTGGTGAGCAAGTGCTGGAATGATAAATTTCTCCAAATCTATTCCAATGAAAAAAAACTCATCTACATCTTGGATGATCTGAGAGAGAGTAAATGTTCATTTTCGGTTTTTTGGGCGAACTAACAGCTTTTTGGGTAACAAAGAGCTTGTAACCAAATCATGATTCTTCCTCAGAAACACAATGAACCAAGTAGGAAAAGTTTGTATTTGGTCTTTTCTTGCACTTACAGAGACCAAAGAGCTTTTATATGGTGTGTTGGTATCAAACAAACCCTGACAGGCCTGAAGATTTTGATATTTTTTAACATGTAAACACCATAATGGAATCAGCTGAATCACTCATTCTCATTTGACTCTCGAAAACCACATTTTATTGAACTAAGTAACTCAAGCATCAGAAATGCATCTTTGGTGCTTTCAGTAAGCCTTTAAAAAGCAAACCCCAAACTTTTATCTGTGAAACAGTGCTTAGTCAGCACAATCAAAAGTGTAAACAGTGTATCTGCATTTCTGCACATGTAAATATCGTGGTTCGATCAAGGGGTTTCCCTGTGTGGCCGCATCTGGAAGTTATTTTGACCAACTAAACTCTCCTGTAAGGACAACTTTGAGAATTAACAGAAAGCGTGACTTTACTACTGCCCTCTGGGAAGAAAACCATAGGTATGGGCACGGATAATGGATGAGCACTTGTAGACGCTGTCGTCTTGTAAGTCGCAATATTTGCTGTCATGATTCACTGGGAATGGTGGGAATTGTCTTGGGCAAAAAGGTCTTATGTTCCTTTTAAATTATTACGGACATGACGAGAAGTTCTGGAACTGGTTAAGAAAATGCAAAGGAGCCCAAAAAGGGGGAGAGACGTGACAGTACGGTTTCTTATAAAGCCAAATGTCAGACTACAGCCATATGAGACGTAAGATGCTGATGTAGATAAATGGATATTCACATATCATGAAGTAAACCAATGGATGATTTTATCAGAACGATGCAAACAGGCTGTTACACAATAAACTCAAGTTAACTTGCATCAAGTTGCCATATTTCGATCACTTTAAACATCACATCTTGCATAACAAAAATTATTAAATAAATATAAATAAAATAAAATAAAGAACCAATAATGATAAGTCTTAGGATGTCTGAAACACCACCACAAGTTATTGTTAAAGAATGTTACATTACTTTAACGAGGCTAATTATTTCTGAACAGAAGCAACACAAGGGTGAATCTCACAAAAACTGACAGAGCAATTAAAAAAAAATAAGAAATGATATTTTACTAAAATAAAATGACTATTCTTAAGACCACTAAAGATTTTGCATTGTGACATTATTTTTATGAATTACCACACCATTTGTCCGTAACATACTGTAATGAAATAAAAAAATTGAATTATTAAATTACATACATATGCCTACATACATATAAATGAAAAAAGCTGATTAGAAACGCATTAATGAGGAAAAAAAATTTACTTAAATGATTTTAGCAAATGGCTGCAATATAACAAAGAGTGAAAAATTGAAGGGGGTCTGAATACTTTCCGTACCCACTGTATATTAATAATAAAATAATAATTATATTACTATCATTATTATTTAAATTGAAAGTATACACCATTGTAGTATTTCTTTTTGTATTAAGCTTTAATAAAAAGTAAATTAATTAAATTTAATAAAGCATTGGTCTAGATAACTCCACATATTATGGCAATGTGAATTCGGAGGAAAATGTACTTAAGGAAACAATGTCACAATGCAAAAAGAAAAAAATATTAATATGCAAATTATGATTTCTTTTTTTCCATTGTGAGGTAAAACTTGAGCCGGACATTTCTTTGGGAGACCCACAAAGAAACCAGCAGTAAACACACATACTGAGGACTGGATTAATGCGGTGTAACTGGCCTGATTGTTGTTTGTTGTCGTGCTCTGCCAGATCCATCTCTAGGCAGGTGCTGGGAGACTGTAGAACAGAACAGTTTCAGCCAGGGGCCAAATGAATCCACGTCTTTCTGCTCGCTCGCTCTCTCCCTCCCTTCATCTCTCTCTTTCTGTCTTTCCTCTTCTTCTTCTTCTTCTTCTTCTAAAAAAATAACTATTTAACTTCTGATGCATCTCTGAATCCTTTTAATAGAGTTTCGACTTCCTTCTCCTTGACCTGGGAAGGAGACATTTCACATTCAACTTACTTTGCAGTCTCAATGAATTACAAATGTCTTTTTTTTTTGTCTGTGCTATCTTTAATCACAACATTCTAACTAGATGACTTGATGACTTTTCACGACATCACAAATCTTTATCACTTTCCAATCCCTCCCTTCAATCATCTGCCTCTATGCTGGAAAGTAACACCCACTTTACACAATCCAATCAATTTACAATAGATAAAACTAAGTCCCGCCCCACATAGACTTACATAAAATGCAATACAAAAAGATTTAAACATTCATCTGAAAACTGAAGACTGGAATAATGATGCTGAAAATTCAGCTTTGCATCACAGAAATAAATTACATTTTAAAATATATTTAAATAGAAAACAAAGTTTAATTGTCAAAATATTTCACAATATTACTGATTTTATTGTGTTTTTGATTAAATAAATGCAGCCTTGGTGAGCATGAGAGACATCATCATTAACTTAACTATATGATTTTTCCTGATTTTTTTTAATACAATGAAAGTAGACAGTCAAGCTCCAAAAAGGAAAAAAGCACCATAAAAATAATCTGTATACTCTCATAAAGTAGTCTTTTGTGTTGTATTTCAAGTCTTTTGAAACAATACAAAAATGTATTGAAAAAAAAAATATATACAAGTAAGTACATTATATATCCAATTATTATTTTCCATTTTCCATTTACTTATTTGCCATTTTTGGAGATGGACAGTCTCAGTCCCCGTCATTTTCATTGTATGGAAACCAACATTAAGATTCTTCAAAACATCTGCTTTTGCATGAAGAAAGAAAGTAATTTAGCTTTGGAATCACATGAGAGCGAGTATAGGATGACAGAATTTTTGGGTAAACTGTTCCTTTAACTCCGTCTGCCACATAAAATGAAGACTCATTCATGATACACCTCCACTAATTTGTGTCACGTTTTATAAGAGCATTCCAGCTCTCTCTGAGGCACAAAATTGTGCGTAATTAGCCAAATCAAAGATTTTTTTTAGCGTAATCAAAGCCACGCGGCTGTTTAAAAACCTCATTCCAGGAACAGAATGAGAATCCTCCAGCTGGATTTCTCCACTTGTGTGATACGAAGTGGCATATGTGATATTATTCTCAAAAGAAGTTACAGCCAGGTCTCTATGCCATGGAAGTCTATTAAAGTTTGGAGAGTCTTACCGCGGTGACAGAGCCTGCAGAAAGAGAGAGAAAGTCCAATACAAACTCTCAGTCTCCCGCAACACCTGACATGCGAGCACACGCACAAACCATCTGGTGTAGAGGCACCATTCTGTCATAGACCACCGCGGCCTCGGCCCGTCACCGCTTTGAGCGTCTGCTGACATGGGGAGCAGCCGCTGACACTGGGAGGCTAGAAACACTTTTAAACAGAATCAGTTTAAACATTTATTCTGCATGCAGAGTCACATAAACACTCTTATATTTACAAAGTTTTAAAAGACCCTCATTAAAAGTTAATCTCTCCATATCCCAGCATAACGTCAATACAATATGAAGCCAAAGCGTCATTCTTATATGTCTGCCAACTTCAGAAACTTTCACATAAACCCAAAAAACACGGGCTCTGCTCCAAATGCTAGTGAGCTGCCTTTCTACCTACTGTCTACTTTGGCAGCTCCCTTCTAAGGCAACATCCCTCAGTTAACAAATCTATCGTGTCACACGTACCGCACCTCTCATATAAAGTACATAATCTGCATTCATCTACTGCTCATAGTTAATCATATTATTCTAGACATTGGCATGCTGCTAACAAATAAAGTAACAAAAAAAAGCACTGCCTCTAATAAGCAAAAAAATCAGTGACATACACAAATACTGGGCAAAATTGTTCATTTTTTTAATCAGATATTTTTATTAATATTTAAGAATAAAATTTCAAATTGTATTGATACATATTTATCACTGTGTCAATAAATTTTCAGAAAATATATCTATTTAAAGTTGATGCAGGATACAATTTCTGATCAGTTAAGTTTTTAACTTTTTAAGATTTCCCCAGTCTTTAGGTAATGTTTTTTTTATTTTTTTAATAAATTTTAGATTTTGTCATCACAAGCATTTTTAGCTGAAAAAATACTTTAATACTCAGCATAACGTAAAATGATATTTACTACAGAAAAACAACAGAAATTTTTATAACCTTTAAGACTTTATTAATGTGACTAACAGGACTGGGGGATAACATTAAAATAACAAAAGAAAAATAAATAAATTAAAAGAAAAGATAGATAGATAGATAGAATGACAGAACGATAAATAGAACAACAACAACAGACGGACGGACGGACGGACGATGTAAAATGATATTTACTACAGAAAAACAACAGAAATTTTTATAACCTTTAAGACTTTATTAATGTGACTAACAGGACTGGGGGATAACATTAAAATAACAAAAGAAAAATAAATAAATTAAAAGAAAAGATAGATAGATAGATAGATAGAATGACAGAACGATAAATAGAACAACAACAACAGACGGACGGACGGACGGACGGACGGACGATGGATGGATGGATGGATGGATGGATGGATGGATGGATGGATAGATGGATGGATAGATACAAGAACTGTGGGAAACCCTGAAAGCATCACCTAAGAATAATAACACTTAAATAATAACTCAAGAATAATAACTAATGCCAAATAATCTCCAAAACAGTGTGACTATTATTTTTATTTTTTTTAAAACACATTTTCTCAGGATCGGCGTCCCCTCAGGTGCCATCAGTAAGTTGCTCAAAGCAAATCTAAACCATTCATGGGATTTTTATTGTACAATTACGGAGACCACTGAGGTACTGGCAGAGGAGGAGATGAAATTATACACATTTTCCTATTAATAAGTAAAAAAGAGCTGGAGAGAGAAGCACCCAGGGGGGCCTCGACTGGAAAAATACAAGATGCTGGCAACTGACCAATGGTTTCCGTACAATGGAAGAGGGGTTCTGGGAAAGCCGCTTCTGTCTGCTTGACTGGCCGCAGGCGCGGAGAGAAAGCAGTATCCAAGGTTGTGTAAAATGGACACCAGAGAATAAGACAACCGGAATTATAACTGACATTTTTATGGCCGCAGTTGCAGGGGTTTATGGGTATCATACACAACATTAGATAACAGGCCTCCAGGAGTTTAGATGCGCTATGAGTCGATCGACCGCAGTAAAATGTGTAATTAGACGGAGGATGTGTGTAAATCTGAGGACGTGAGTGATGATACCTGGATCTCTGTCGCTGGTCCAGTGCTGCTCGTTTGGCTTGCGTCTCCAGCTGTTGGAGATGACGGTGGCGGCGTTTTCGGCAGGGCGCCACATCTGTGATGTCATTTAAGCTGTCATCCATCGGGTTGCTTTCTGGCATCTCTGTTAGACAAAAAATGGAAAAGTTAAAGTGTTAAAGTTCATACAATTTTCATATTTGCACTTATTTAGCTGAGGTTTTTGTCTTTTAAAGAAGATGTACTTCACATTTAGTCAGTATTTCATTATGCCATATTCATGAATTTTATGGTATAATTAATTGTAAATGTAAATATTTTTTATTAATTTAGCAGAACGCGTTATAAAAATATATCATTTTAATCTATAAAAATAAGATTTTAATATTATAATGTGAAAAAATAACAATGTGCATCAAACAAATGTACTTTTTTTTGGAAAAGATTAAACATTTTCATTTACATAATCTCAGGCATACTACTAATCCTGAACATACTATGACTGAATATTATTCATATATTATATATTAATATACAATATAAATATAACATTAAATGTATAAAAATATTAATACAATTATCACTAATAATAAATCATTATTATTATTTAAATACATCTATTTAAACAACAACAACAACAATTGTTATAATTTAAATACATTCTATATTTCTATTCGTTTTATTAGTGCATTGTTATAATCTTAAATTGTTAATTTAATTAACAGCATCTGAATTAAAAAAAACTAAACTTTTTTTGTCTTAGTTATAATTGACTTTAAAAAACAACAGTAATCATCAACTAAATTATTTTGCCAATAATTTCGATGAGATTAACACATTTCATTTAAAGCAGAAATATTCAGCCAATCTGATCAGTTATTGCTATTTCTAAATATGAGCTACATAGCCATCTGTTGCTAATTTAATGATTTCAGTCAAGATGAGTTATTATCTGTGAATGTTATTATTTGTGAATGTTTGCATATATAATGACTCTGAAAGGGATTAATGGAGGCTCTCACAGCCAGTGTTCAGGCAGCCGGCCAACATGTGACTCCGCTAACACAATCAACATCATAAACGCATTAAAAGCATGTTGAGCATCAACATTAAACGATGTACATGCATTTTGACTGCAATAAAACCCAGCAGGAGCACATCTGTCTCATGAGATATGTCATTGTAGCACATTGTAGAAACCATTCAAGATTGCAAAGCATCCAATAGTACTTGTTCTTTAAAGTACTTGTGCTTTGTATTACCAGACACGTTTCCATGATTGTTTCTAGCAATTGTTTACGTCTACATGAGTTTAATTTACACTGGATAGATGAAACTGGGTGGGTTTGACTCAAGTTAATTGGTGCAACAAACATCCTAACCACATTAAAGGCTCTTTCAATTATGCTTCATGTACTGCACCCTTATGGTAAACTTTATAGTTAAGAAAAAGGACTAAAGCTACAACTCAGACTCTTTAAATACAAAAACATTACCATGCACACACTCTGAAACATAAACCATTGAATCGAGCTTTAAGGAAGGAAAGAAAAGGACAATAATTGAAGCCCAAAGCTCTGCCAAAGTGACACACACCTAGCAACCATACATTACAATTCATACTGTTTACAGGGTCACACGACCATGGAAGGTTTTTTTTTCCTAGCTGTGGTGCTTTTTACTTTCACTCCTCAGGGTTTACACAAGGGGAAAAACTGAGAAATTGAGCAACCCGCAGACTAAATCACGTGTGACTCCACCTCATTTCCCTTTCTGTGCCTCAAAACTGTGACTCAACAGCCTGACGGAGCCCCCAAATATGGCTTTCGAGTAGCCCGATGTCGAAATCGACCAAAAGCAGACGGTGTTGCCAATGAACAACTCGTCTAGGACATGACGTCATAAACAATGAAGGACGGCGCAGGCAAAAGCTGAAGGAATGAACTACCTGTAGGCCGTCTCAGTTCTGGGTCTCAGCAGGGGAAAATACATTAGCGTGGTCATGCTTTGGACAAGAGAGCAAATACCTAGAGTGATGTTATCACTCTCATTGACGCAATGCAATTACAAGTCTTTGCTGTTCTGTGCAGTTTATTTGGGATCTAATTGTAGTAGTGTTACGTAACGCAGCATAGCTATTTTTGAACAAAAAACAGTTAATTAACCATGCAGCAATGCATATTATGGATAATCCAGTGAATTAAACACTTTACAGATGAAAAATACATCATCTTATTTGAGTATTTTCTCTATCTGAGGATGCAAACCAAGGTCAGAAATGAACGGGGCTTTGGGGCAAAAATGCCACCAAAATGGATAAAAATGCCCCTCAAATTTAAGATAAAGGGGCAAAAAATGCCCCTGCACAATTAAACCAAATAAATTTAAGAATCTGGTTAAATTTAAGTATCTGACATAAAAGACAATACAGATATTTAATGAGGGAATTATAAAAACGGCCCTTACAAAGGTAAAAAAATGCCCCTGGAAATCAGTTCTGGCGGCAAATACTGCCCCGTAATAGAAAATGTAATTTCTGACGCTGATGCAAACCAAAGATAAGGTTATTTATAAATGATTAAAACTGACAACAGCTGCTTCACATTGAATAACTCAAGATAAACACAAAAGACTTTCAACATTATACTAACAACATCATAAAAGCCAATATACAAATCGTAAATTGTACAATATTTGATATACACAACTCCAAAAGTTGGATTCCACATTAATGCACCAATCAGAGATGCAGACCTAGCTCTTTCTCCGCTCATATTGTTGAATTATTCCATGTTTCTTTGTCAGTTTCTATCATTGCATGGTACACACTGTCATTCTGTCTGGCCCTACGTCAAGATGTTGAGCTTTCATCTGTTTGCCAGGGTCACTAGATCAAATCAGCATCGTGCTGTCATTCATCAACCTGAACTTTCTGGGAAGAAATTCCACTAAATTTGCTACACATTGTTAAACTATATTAAAATATGAGCTTCGTTTGATGTTCTAGGCACAAATTCAGTTGTATGCTCATCTAGTTTGACTTCAAACTTTGTTAACTTTGCGAATATGTAACTGTGTCCAACAAACACAATATTACAGAGCCTTGAGAACAAATCAACTGAGAATATACAGCTGAAGAATGAGAATTTCCACAAATCCACACAAACTAAATCACAGACTTTGCTAAAAGTAGGCTGAGAAAGTCTCAGCAGTAATTTGCATTCAACCAAAAAAAAAGAAAAAAGTTTTGAGGTATTTGCATTTGAAATTGTGGCTCACTTGAAACTTCAAAGGAGTAGTTCACTGAAAAATGGCAACCTGAAAATGACAACCTTATCTACAGTATATGGTTTATATTTTTTTTAGCTGATGCATTGGGAAAAAAGGTTTGGAATACAGGTTTGGAAGAACATAATGACAGAATTTTAATTTCTGGGTAAAGTTAGAAGAATTACCTTGTGTAAGAGGCTTTGGGTCTGGCTGTCTGTGTTCAGCCTCCTGTTCATCTTCTGTACTACCTCCATAATCACTCTCTCCAGGACTTTTATCTGCCGCAGTCTCCATCGCCTTGTGGTCTTCACTATCTGCCTTTTTCCTTCCAAAGGAATACAGTAGGTACAACATGCTAATATGGCATATGAGAAAACATATCAAAGACTCTCAACATTTCTGTAATGACTGATTCACATGTTCCAAACAAAGTGAGAGAAAGCCAGAAAATGAGTTGTGCTGTATTTTGCACTGAAAATGTCTCTTTCATTTAAAATGTACACTAATGAAAATTTGTGAAAACAGTGTTTTTATTTATTTATTTTTAATATACACTACCACTTAAATTGTTGGGGTCAGTCAAGTAAATAAATAAATAAATTTGTATTTTTATTTTGCAAAGATGCATTAAACGGTTTGAAAGTACAGTATAATGTTACAGAAGATATCTATTTTAAATAAATGCTGGGGTTTTTTTACTTTATTTGTCAAAAAATCCTGAAAAAACTAAAATATTAAGCAGCATAAATGTTTTCACCACGGATAAAATTCAGAAATGTTTCTTGAGCAGCAAATCAGCATATTAGAATGATTTCTGAAGGCTCACGTGACACTGAAGACTAGAGTAATGATGCTGAAAATTCAGCTTTAACATCAAAGAAATAAATGATATTTTAAAATAAATTAAACAGAAAACAATTTTGAATTGTAATAATATTTCACAAAATGAATGTTTTTACTATATTTTGATCATATAAATTCAGCCTTGGTGAGCAGAAAAGACTTCTTCCAAAAACATTAAAATAATGTTACCAATCACAAACTTTAATAAAGTAGTGTACAAATAGATATAACTATTTGTTTGAAATCAATCATTTTTGAAATTCATTCGGGTGTCGTAAGTGGCACAGAAATAAGACACCTTTAAGTGTCTTAATCAAGGGCACAACGGTGATGGACTGAACCTTCTTGGCTTTGTACCTAAACATTTGAAGTTTTCCATCATGCCACAGTTGTCAACTAGTGTAGTTTTAAGTTTTTTTTGTGTAGACAGGAAAATGTGCTCAACACAAAACTAGAAGAGATAATCATGAATGTGACATCATCATGGGATTACCTAACTAAATGGGCATTTCATAACAGGAGAAGGGAAATGTTGAAATGAAAAATGCTTACGATCATGTGAGGTTGTATCATGATGAAACGACGCACACATCTTTACCTCAGTCGATTCTCTTCAACAGATTTCTCCAGCTCTTTGACACTTTTCTGCAGAGCTCTGAGTTTGACTTTCTTCTCGTTTAGGACCAGCACAAATCGGCTGTACAGGTCTCTCTCCAACTTCTCCTTCCCCTGGACGTACCTTTGCATCCTGTGGAGAGGGTGAAGACCAATGAGACACACCCGAACACTCATGCAACCCAGTCTCCCTGAGCATCCCATCGGGTTGAGAAGAGTGGAAATGTTTAGTTATGAGAGTGTTTGTATTACTATATAAGTGGATAAACACTCATTACTTAACATGGAAAACATTAAGAGCATATTTAACTGAACACCTGTGGTAGCTCTTTGCAAAATACACAAGGCAATAAAGTCCTGACAGTGTTGAGTAGCATTACAAATTCTCCATAATTCTGGTTTTGGAAGATGTTAGAAAGTGTGGCGGCACAGTCGGGTGGTGATGTCACTGCTGCTGTTTCTCAGAGAGGAAAGATTGAAGCAAGTGGAGAACAAGAAAAGAAAGTAAAGAGGAGCTTCTTGTCAGGTTGGCCCGGGATTCCCTTGTCATTCTCCTCCTGAATGCATCATGTGCTCTAATCAGCCAAATAAACAGCAAAAAATATTAAACTGCATTTGCATATCTACAGTTCCCCCTTTTAGAGTATCACAGCAAAGACAAACTAAAAACATCTTGTGTATCTGGAGTTCCTTAGTAACCGTTTAAAAACACAGCCAAGACACTCTTTCATTCTGAATCATGGGAGATGATGAGGAGGGGAGAGGGTAATCCAAGGGGAAGTTGTAATCATGAACAGGTGAAAGGCTTGCGTAATCACAATTTTGTTTGAAATTACTTTTGGCATTACACAAAAAAACCTTGTGCAAGTTCCCAGGAACAAAGAAACCAATCAAAAGCATATTCCCCACATTTGTAGACTTTTAGTTTTATGTCGTAGTCCACTTATATGTTAGTCAGGTTTCAAGCATAAAAAAAACAAAAAAACAAATCATAATTTAGTTTTAAATTTAGTTTTAAAAATAATTTTAAAAGTTCTAGAATCTAAAAATCAAAAGAAATGATTAAACATACTATTGGCCAATACAGATAAAGGCACAAAATAATAATAATAGATAATGAAACTATAAAAAAAAATAGACAAACTTTAAGTTGGCTTGAGAAAACCTGACTAGAAAGGTTGTATTAGTTTTATAAGCTTAAAGTCTGAAGGTTTTAAAGCCATGCAAACTTTATGCAATAGATTTCATATTTGTAGAAGCTGCTACTGAATGTTTTAGCATTCATTTTGTTAATTAAGTTTAAATAGAAAATCAGTATGTTGGCTTTCTAAATTATTTTTAATATCAATATTATTAATAAATAATAAAAATGATATTTTATAAACATATATATATATATATATATTATAATATAATTACATACTATTAGTAATTAACATTATAATAAATATTACAAAATATCTATCTTTGTTAATATACAGTAATATTACTGAATATTTATATTTATTTATAATTGAATATATATATTTCATTATATTTATATTATAGAATATTCATGAAAATGTTATGTTTAGATAGATAGATAGATATTTTATTAAAGGGTACTAAGGACTAAAAAAAATATCACTCAGTTGAAAGCAGCGGCAAAGTTTGTAGCATATAAAAGTAAAGTAAAATAATATTCATGCACAGATTTTTTTAGCACACAACATATTCAAAATTTACATTTGAGGGATGACTGAGTAATGTAATGTTTTTAGAACAAAAAGTCTCTGAGTAATGCTAACCATAAAGTTTAACTTACTTATAAATCATAAACCACTATTCTAAAAAAAAAAAAACATTAGACCAGTGTTGAATTAGCCTTCCAAATTGAGCTTACAAATTGACGTCTTTAGTGCACAGCTCTGTTCTACAAATATTTGTATTTATTCCAAACATCCGTTTCTACAGTTTTGTGAGAGCTGAGTGAGTTGAGGAGTATTGATCTGGTGTGGACCTACTCTTTAGTGATGTGTTCCTGTTCTCTCCTCAGCTTCTGGTTCTCCTCAAGCAGGTGCTGGTTTTTGGCCTGTAGACGTGCGCTCTGCTCCAGGCCATGACTAATGAGCTCCCTTATGACTTCAGTGGGCTCAGGCACTGCCTGCAGATCCACCACGCCGAGCCTGAACTGAGAAATTAAGAGAGAACAAGATTCACAATAGAAGACCTTGTGAAACCGGGCACCTGGAGGAGACACCTGCCCATCAGCTATTAGCATTAGCATCCTGGCTGGAGAAACAAGGGAGATTGGCTAAGAATTAACTTAGATTTAGAGCAATTTAGGAATGAATCATTCAGACCGATGTGTGAAACTGTTTGACTGATTCATTCAAAAGAATCAACTCAACTGAACAAAGTCAATCAAAAATCAGATCTAATACCAAGCTAAAGGAATATTTTAGAACTGACAATTACAGAAAAGAAAATGCTAAATAAATTAAAAAGATGAAAAGCTACATAAATACATATATACATAACTTGTAATAAGATAAATAGATAGATTAGATAAATCATCAAAAATTAAATAATGAATAATGAAAGACGTAATGAATAAAATGAATAAAAATGATAAATAAGTAAATATTTTAAAAGTATCTAAATAGATAAATAAATAATTATGTATATATTTTAAAATATTATAAATATAGATCTATAATAATTTGTCATAATAAGCCTAATTTAAACAGACTGGATATACATTTGCAGCATAAAAAGACAACTGCTGAATTTAAAAGTGCATAGCACAGTGCTAATCCAGCACAGATAGCACCTGGTTAAAGTAAAATGAGGGCGGTATTGAATACAATGCTCTTTTTAAATTTGCAAATTAGTGTATAACTTTCAGTGAATTCACACTTCAGGGTTTCACTGCCCAACTCTGTCTAGCACCTGGACAAACACACTGACATTCAGCCTGGACACTTGTACCGATAAGACAAGCCAACCGCTGTGATGAGAGCCAGCGGGCGACAGCGAGTCTCTGATCCTCAAATAGATGAACTCTGACAGGACACGCAAGGGACGGACGCTCGGCCTGTAGTGTGTGCCAGTCTGTGAATGATAAGGACGACTGCACTGAGAGCACTGAAGATAACAGACCTCACAGAGACCTGAGAACACAATGAAGTTCCTGCTGTCAACCTACTGAGACTGCCTCTTAATCGAACACTTTTGTCCTATAAATGATTCTTGACGGCTGTAAGCAAAGGACAGCGAGTGGGAACAAGCAAGCAAATACTTACGACCTTGTTGTGCACAACTCTAGTAATGTATGCAGCTATTTAGCACACTTAGCTAAATTGACTTTGCACTTACAGGAACAATCATCTTGGAGAAATGGAACATCAAGAGTCTTAAACTAAAAGTCACAATACACCATTTTACCATAGCTCATCCAAAAAAGTAATCATTCTGTCATCATTTATTCACCCTCATGTATGACTTACTTTCTGCCAAAGAGAAGTTTAGCATGGTGTCCTGGAAGCTCTTTAGGGAATGGGGATGATGCTGTCAAGCTCAAAAAAAGGGGCTAAAAAGAAGCATAAAAGTATATGGAAAGTAGTCCATTCCACTTGTGCACTATTTTCCAAGTGTCTTGAGGTCAAACAAATGCTGTGTGTGAGGAACAGATTAAATGTTACACTGCTATTGTTATTTCCTAATATTCGCCTACGCTGTAGCTCAAATCTCTTTTAATATTTTGGTATGTTCTTCACTTAAATCTATCAATATTGCTTCAAAATTCTTTTAGAATACAACATAGAAGTAGTTCAAATGAATAGTCTGGTGTTTTGAATCATTCAATCATGCTAATGAATCATTCAGACCAACGAGTGAACCTGTTTGACTGATTCATTAAAACGAAAATAATTAACTCAAACAAATTCACTCAGAAATAAGACCTATATCAAGCCCAATAAAACAAAAATATCTATGACTTTACTAGGAGGTGAGGTGAATAAATAAATAATGACTGTTTTTTTACCATACCTCTTCAGTTTTTAATGCCACACAGAGCAAAAGAGCACATATTGGCTGTGATGCAACTGTCACATTTACACATCAGTAAACCACAGATTCAACATTAAACCTTTTCCAGCAGAATGTGATGTACCATCGAGCAACACACACACTTTACATGATGAGCTAAGAAGTTCCATGTCTCAGAGAGCTTATTTGGACAGGTCTGTGTAGTGAACCTGGACAGAGCGGATTCATCCCACATTGGGAAGCCAAACTGTGGAGACAGACACAGGCTGAATTGCTATTAAAACTCTTATGACGAAGACTAGTGGCTTTATGCTTTAAAAAAAAAAAAACAGTTGTCTCACAAAATCATAATTTGAACTTGTCTAACTGAACGATACACGAGAATGAGAGTCCAAACAGCTGATAAAAACATCTCAATTATCCACAAGCAATCCACAAGACTCCAGTCGCTCAATTAACGTCTGTGCAGACTTCTCTCTTGATTCAGACGAGACAAATTTTTCACTAGAAGAAGCAACATTATGGATACAAGACTCGTATTTTAGCTGGAAGAAATGGTTTGATGTTAAAAACATCTTAACGATGGATTTGTTTCTCAGAAACACACAAGCTTTTAGCTTCAGAAGACATTAACTGATGGAATGGACTGGAGTGGATTACGTGTGGATTATTGTGATGTTTTTATCAGCTGTTTGGACTCTCATTCTGACGGCACCCATTCACTGCAGAGGATCCATTGGTGAACAAGTGATGTAATGCTACATTTTTCCAAATCTGCTCCAAAGAATAAACAAACTCATCTACATCTTCGATGGCCTGAGAATGAGTACATTTACAGAAATTTTTAATTTTTGTGTGAAGCAGAAGCATAACAAAGCCTCTTTAAATGAGGAATAATGATGGATTTGCTGATGGACGTGAGGTGAACACACCAAACATGACCATAGTCCAGCGGAGTTAAGGAAACGAAATGTTCCCCCAAAAGAGTGACTAAGAGTGACCTCTCGACAGAGCCAGCATTGTTTCTGTACATGGCTGGCTGGTCTGGAAAGTATTAGACAGTTTCATCTCTGCAATCAGTCAAGTGGCCGGCAGAACCCAGAGCAGATGCCATCATATCCCCGCGAGGACGCTGGGAACTGATCTCCGTTTATCCCTGTGGGAACGGTCGTTTTCTAGGTGCCACAAATGCACTAAACCACACACAGAGTGCTGGACCTCCCAAAGTGTCCGAGGACCTTTTCAGAGTCTGACCACATAAAAGTCACGTGACTACAAAAACGTGCATCACAGCTAAAAAACGAAACGTTCCCCCAAAAGAGTGACTAAGAGTGACCTCTCGACAGAGCCAGCATTGTTTCTGTATATGGCTGGCTGGTCTGGAAAGTATTAGACAGTTTCATCTCTGCAATCAGTCAAGTGGCCGGCAGAACCCAGAGCAGATGCCATCATATCCCCGCGAGGACGCTGGGAACTGATCTCCGTTTATCCCTGTGGGAACGGTCGTTTTCTAGGTGCCACAAATGCACTAAACCACACACAGAGTGCTGGACCTCCCAAAGTTTCCGAGGACCTTTTCAGAGTCTGACCACATAAAAGTCACGTGACTACAAAAACGTGCATCACAGCTAAATACTATTATGAACAAAGACAGCTTGGTAAAACACGTTACAAAAATAAATAAATAAAATAATGGATTTCTGAAAGAGATATAGCAGGAAAATGTCACATTGCATATCTATTTAATGCACAATAGCAAATATATATATATATATATATATATATATAAATATATATGCACACACAGTGGGTATAGAAAAGAATCACCCCTTTTAAAATAATCACATTTTGTTGCTTTGCAGCCTGAAATGAAGACAGACACAGTTTTTGTTTTATCCAGCTGTGTTTACTCAGTGCAACTTATAACATCCAAGTGAAAGATATAACACCAACATGTCAGAAAAAAAAAAAACATGATTAACTGAGTTGGAAAAAAGATCACCCCCTCCTAAAAAGACATGTAAACTCAATCAAGTGTAGCTAATCACCTTCTCAACGGCACATGAAGCCATTTGACTTTCAACTGTGATCAGCTATGCTCATTTTGATCAGCTCAGCATGAAAAGAGCTTTCCTGGAGCATTTCAGTCCTTGGTAGTGCAACTGAAACAAACAATCAACTATGGGTGGCAAGGCACTGTCAAAAGATCTCCGGAATAAAGCTGTGGACAGGAGATAGATGCAAAAAAAACTTCAAAGGCTTGATCAATGCATAGAAGCACAGTGAAGTCTATTATTAAGAAGTGGAGGATATTTGATACGCCACAGACCCTCCCTGGATCAGGACGTCGCTCCAAACTGGATGAAAGAGCAGGAGGAAACTGGTCAGAGAGGTGACCAAGAGACCTACAGCAACTCTGAAGCAATCGCAGGAATTTGTGACAAAGAGTGATCTTTGTGTGCATGTGACAACAATATCACAAATTCTCCACAAATGTGGCTTGTATGGGAGGGTTGCAAGAAAAAAAGTCACTCCTCAAGAAAGGCCACATGCAGTCATGACCTAGCTTTGCCAAAAGATTCTGAGTCAGAATCCTCAACACCAAACGATATGTCTGGTGTAAATCCAACACAGCTCACCATCCAAATAACATCATTCCTGCAGTAAAGCATGGAGGTGGTAATATCCTGTTATGGGGTGTTTCTCTGCAGCAGGGACTGGAGCACTTGTCAGGATAGAAGGAATAATGGATGGGGCAAAATACTGTCAAATTCTTGAGGAAAATCTGCTGCCCTCAAAACTGAGCACACAGTGGTTAAAGGAGATAAAGGTGAATGTTCTTGCATGGCCTAGTCAGAGCCCAGACTTAAAGTTTAAACAGACTTAAACTTTGTCTGTCTTCATTTCAGGCTGCAAAGCAACAAAATGTGATTATTTTAAAGGTGGAGGGGTGATTCTTTTCTATACCCACTGTATATACTGTGTATATATATATATATATTAGGGCTGCATGATAACAATGTTTTTAGGTCTCAGCGGTGTCACCCTGAAGAGAACAGTTTACTTGATGACAGCTCAGTTTAAACTCATCCACATGTGTTGGATAGGAGTTTGTGTAGCCTACCTCTGGGATGCAGA